GAACAGGCCACATGAAGACTCCTGGGAGGGACGTGGCATGGTGGGAGGGGGTGGATGGGATGTGCGTGGCCAGGGGTTTAGGGGTTCACCAAACTGAGCAGAATCCTAGCTAAAGGATCACCCAAACCTCTGCGAACCCCCAGCAGCCCACCCCTGGTACAAACCCCATATCTGATAGGGAGCTCTTGGATTTTTCAAATAATTCTTAATGTAACTGAAGGATTTCCTTGGGGTTGTCTGTTTATGGATATACCAGTGGATTTGTGGATGATAGGATGTTTTTGGTAGAGTGATACATTTGGGAAGACATTTCCAGAAACCAGTTTCTGCTGTTTTCTGAAATAACTGAAGATTTCAGTTTATCTTATGGACTGATATATAAGTCAGTCAGTGTGATATAGTGAGAGTCAACGCAATCTCATGGTTAAGGTGTTGGGTTTGCTTTGGGGAAACCCAGGTTCAAGTCTACCCTCATCCCTAAAATGTTGCTGGGTAACTTTGGGCAAATCATTCTCGTTCAGCCCAGCTTGTTTGGCCAAATTGTTGCAGTTGTAAAAACAGGAAAAGGGAGCATTATGTGTGTCCTTTTGAGCTCCCAGACAAAAGCTGGGAGATCTGTCAAGAAAGTAACGTTTTCTTTCTTGAACCTATCAAATAAAGAACTAATTCAAATGTTGTAGATAGTATTTATCAACAATCCATACTACAAATGAGGCATAGTTTTCTACTTCTAGTGTTGTATGATAATTCTTTCAGCCAACCCTATTCCTCAAAACCCCACAAGTTCTGATACCTCGATTCCATATTCAGGGGTTCAGACCAGGGGTGGGTTGCTACCAGCATTACTGCCGGTTTGGTGTGCAAAAAATTTTATGCACAAACACGCACTTTGCATGTGTACCCATTTACACCTTAAAAGGTCTGTGCATGCACAGAACATTAGAAAAGGGGAAAATACATTTCTGCAATGGAGATTGTTCTGCACATGTGCAGAACGAAAATTCAAGATGGCGCCACCGACAATAGAACTTGTTCGGATGCGAGTTACTACCTACTCGGCTGAACCGGTCCGAACCGGTAGGAACTCACCTCTGGTTCAGACCGAAAGAACATCGGCATATTTGACATATAGTAATTGTCTATTAATGGTAATGGTTCTATTGATGTCAGTCCAAATACAATAATACCAGGGACAAACAACACAAATTACATTTCCAGCAACAGGATGTCCTTAATCAACCCTTATTGAGCATTCTCTGAGATAGCCAGTATAGATGAAACAACATTTTTGTTATATTGATCTCATTTTGAGATCATACGAAATCAATTTCACATTATTTAGTGCAACACTCTATTGGTTTATCAGACATGACTTTGAAACTTGTAATTCCATGATAGTGTAAATAATTAATAATTAATTAATTTCATCAGCTTCCTTCAACTTATAAGAAAGAGTTACTGGCTTAGGAGCCACCCTTAATTACTCAAAAATATCTAATCACCATTGAAGCAGCAATCCTATCTGGAAGTCCTAAAGCAAATTAAAAATGTTTAATTTGAAAAAAATGTCACGATATGCTCTGAGATAAGCCTGAGATAAAAAAAACAATTCTGAAAAAGCTTTATAAATAGCTACTCAGAACTGACTATTTCGATTAATGTTGTGAAAACACACTTTATACAGATCCAGATGGTATTCTAAAGTAAGGTGTAACAAAACCTTTTTATGGGTACATGAATCCTTTGAACTCACTCCAGTGGCTGGCAGAACAGCAGCCATGGCATGGCCCTAAAACCCCATATACACACATTCTGGCCAGCTTCTCTATCCAGGTGGTAGCCCAGTTCAAGTTGTGTTAGTATGGAACATGGCTCATTCCACTTCCTCCCATTATCTAAGCGACCTGGAACATCCCCAGTCATCTAGTACTTGAAAAAAAATATAGAATTACATTATTATTATTAGATTATTATTAGATTTTTAAAATCCCACTTTCATTATCTTTTATAAGTTACAAAAGGTGGCGAACATACCTAATGCTTTTTCCTCCCTCTTACTTTCCCACAATAACAATCCTGTGAGGTGAGTTGGGCTGAGAGTTAGTCATTAGTTCAAGTCACCCAGCTGGCTTCATGGCTAGGGCAGGACTTGAACTCGCAGTATCCTGGTTTCTATGCCAGTACACTAATCATTTACATCAAGCTGGCTCTCATTGTGATGCCTATAATTTAAATGTTTAATCACAGCATGATATTTGCAGGCATAATAGATAATTTTTAAATGCTTTCATTCATGACACAATTTCCAGGCTATTTTTATTGCGAAGCTTATCATTTCAGATTATGTTCATTCTTTAATGTTGTTGTTTGCATTTGTACTATTCTTTTTATGATTAGTTTACCATAATAAAATAAAATTGAAAACTGTTTATGGTTTCTAATAGACCAATAAGAGTACACTCTTTTTTTTCTGACTATTTATGGCTAAAAAGATAATGTACTAAATGGTGTGATTTACTGTCTAGGGATTGTATTGGTGTAAGTAAATATTCACTCAGTGAACAAGATACTATATGTGAGAATAAATACATGCTCTCAAGTACATAAGCAATAAAAGCAAAATATACTAAAGTGCTTAATGGGAAGGGGTTTGTTATGTCTCTAATGGCATAATCAGTAGAGCAAAATGTGCTCAGGATGCAATGGTTGAGGGAAAGTATTTGTATTAATTATTCAGAGTTATTTCGGTCAAAGCATACTGTACATTCATTACTGATATGGTGGTATTATACTTTTCCGAATCCAAATTCTTTCAATCTTTGCAGGACTCCTGCAATTTAGGAGGAAAAAAATAGCAGCTTGTTATATACATATTTAATGTGAACAACCTTACAACTGTGTAAAGGGTCAAGATAGTGCCACTCTATATTGAACAGATCAAAACTACAGCTGGGTTCTGTCAGTTCTGGTTTTTCTATTTAAAAAAAAGACATCTGGTTCAAGGATTCTCAAACTTGGCTTCATTAGCTCCCTTCAGAAAAGGCTGCTTTTGTATGTTCATATCTGCTTGCATTTGATTGTGTCATTGGTTGTGCTTAATGAGGATGGATCTTTGAAAAACTGAATACATAATGAATAAGAAAAATAATAATTCCGAGGTGTAAAAATTCTAGAAGCAATTAGGACTGGGGAGTGGGAAAGATATTCAATTAATGACATTGATTTTGGTCCTGTAGTTCTTTCTTTTACTTCCACATGAATACTGTTGTACATTGTGGTGAAACTGAACCTTCCCTCCTCCCCCCTAATTACTTGCATAGAGTTTATTCTTTATACCATTTATGTTGTTTGTATATTTTGTCATGGATTGCACCAGTGAGGCTAAAACCAATTTCATTGTATACATGATGTACAATGACAGTAAAGGCTAAACTATACACTATAAAGAATACAGATTCACTATGAGGGAACAAAATGGTATTGTTCTTATTAGCCCCACAAAAATGGCAAACAAATAGTAATTCTCGACTTACAACAGTTTGTTTAGTGACGTTTGAAGTTGCAATGGCACTAAAAATGTGACTTATGACCATTTTTCACACTTACAACCATTGCAGAACCCCCATGTGATTTACATTCAGATGCTTGACATATAATTCACATTTATGATATTGTAGTGTCCCGGAGCCACGTGATTATCTTTTGCAACATTCTGACCAGCAAAGTCCATGGGGAAGCCAGATTCACTTAACAACTGTGTTACTGATTCAACAATTGCAGTGATTGGCTTCACTCACTTAACAAATATGTCAAGAAAAGTCATAAAGAGGGGCAAAACTCATTTAACAAACTTCTCACTTAGCAACATAAATTTTGGGGTCAATTGTGATCGTGAGGACTGTCTGTAAAAGAAGCACCTGTTGTGATTTTGTTACAGTACAAACCAGAAATTGTAGCTTGTTAGAGTTGATAGAGTTGGATGCCACGGTTTGCTCTGTCTTTCGATTCTTAATTAAGACCAAACTAACGTTGTCAGTTTCCACATGATGGCAAAGAAACAAGAGGAGTAACTTTCGTGCCATTTTTTTTAGCTCTTCCAGTTATTATCAGCTGAACTCACTATAATATACAGAATGAGTAAGCACTGAAGGAGCAAATTAGTTCTAGAAGCCAGAACAGTTGATGTATCATATTTATTGTCAAACATCACAGGCCAGAAACTATATTCAGCATAGTTAATGTTAATATATGGATTAAGCATGTTAGAATTGTCCAGCTATTTTCTTCCCTGTGGCCATCCTTGATCTTTGTTTCTAACTGCCTTGTGAATCTCAGTGATACCTTCTTTAGGAACATCCGTGGAGTCCAGAATGTGCAGCAATGATGACACTCAAACCAAGTCCTTTTTTTCCAATTTACTCTATAATGTACAAGAACTGCTATAATCACACCATAATAGCAAATAACACTCCCAAAAGTCTAATAAGTAATCTTAGAAAGAGTGCAGAGAAGAGCAAGTAGGATGATTAAAGACCCTGGAGACTAAAACATATGAAGAACAATCACAGGATTTGGGTTTGGCTAGTCCAGAGAAAAGAAGGACTGGACGGGGATGGGATGACACATGATAGTTATAGATTGACCCTAGTTAATCCTTGGATGGGATAGGATCTCTTGCTTAAGCAGGGGGTTGGACTAGAAGACCTCCAAGGTACCTTCCAAGTGTTCTGTTATTCTGTTACTCTGAAAGCAGCCTTCCAGTATTTGGGACGCTGCCACAAAAAAGAGTGGGTTAACTTATTTTCCAAAGAACCTGAGGGCAGGACAAGAAACAATGGATTGAAACTAATCAAGGAGAGAAGCAACCTGGAATTGAAGAGAAACTTCCTAACAGTGAGGACAATTAACCAGAACTGTCACATCGTATTTTATGAGCGGGGAAAGGAAAAGAAAAACTACGATACCCAACAGCCTCAGCGAGAATCCCGGAAATGTTCCCCTTGCCGCGCGCTCCTCCAGGACACTGAAAGAAGGACCGCGCGGGTAATTTCGAGCCCGGCGGGGCGGGAGAAATAAAAGTTTGGGTAGTTGTAGCTGAAGGTGATGTCTTTCCCGGCGACTGAATTGCGGTGGCCCGAGCACCTTGTCCCGCTGGAAGTAAGTAGAGGCGGAAGGGAGCCCAATTTAAGGCGCGGGCTGCGTTAATGGCGTCAATTAGGGCCTTAACCGGGGTGTCCCTGATCCTGGAAGGGGTGATGGTTTAATGAGAAAAGTGCTTGGGAATGTGTACAACACGCCTTTTCCTTCTGCGAAAGAGCTAAGCTAGAACTTCGACGTCGCTTCTTCTAAAAGCTTCAAGAAGGAAAAAACCTAATGCAAACTAATATAAAGGAAGGAAGGAAAAAGAAAGAAATCAAAGAAAAAGCTAAAAGTGCAAGAAGAAAAAAAATCAGAAAAGAATACAGAGAAGTGACTTCTGATCTTTGCAGCGATTATAAGTTCAATTATAAATTTACCTCTTTCCCTAAAGTTACAAGTGACTCTCTTTTTTATAATCTTGTCTAATCATCAAAAACCATACATCATAACTTCATTTTGTTTCTGCTTTATGCCAAAAGAGGTTTCCAATCAGCAATAAATGTAAATATTTTCTTTCTCTCAACAAAGAAGTCAATTTGGCCACCTCAGCAAGTTCCAACATCTTCACTAACCACTCTCCCTTGTAGGTATTGCTGAGTTAGTGTCTTTTCCAAAAGTCTGGCAGGCTTATATTTTCAGTGAATAAAGATTGGAAAAGGCAAAATATGTTTCCATTTGTTCCTGAGTTGTGGTATCTTCTTAAACAAATATTGCTTGAAAATATTCTGGAAGTGGTTAGCTTCTGCATTTTTCCAGACTAGCTTGGAGCTATAGTATTACACACAGACACTTAACTCCCATCCCAAGTACTGAACACTTACAGTATTTAAACTACAATAGTAATGTTTGGCATCTCAGCTTTTTAGTTCTGCTAGTACTTCTTAGTAAAATATTAATTGTAGTTACATAATGTGATTTACATAAGCAGAGAGTTGTTGGGTGTGATACCATAAAATGTAAATGAAGCCTGTATTAAATCAAAACAGAAGCAGCAAATTTAAGCATAAACAGAGGATTTATAAGGCCTCAAAGCAAGAAGAATTAAAACCCCAAATACAAACAGAGATTTAATTATTTATGTCAAGGACATAACAAAAATAAAAGTTGATTGCATCTGCCCCACATTTGAATTGATTGATTATTTTATTAATTAAACTAATTTCTGTGTCACATGGTTACCCTGTTCAATAAATCAGCCTGGCTGCTGAGTTTTCTAGGTTCATTCTGGATCTCCACACTCCCTCCTTTTTTACTGAAGTATTTTGGAGGGATCATTGCCTTCAGGTATTATTTCAAAAAATGTATTGTACTTTTGCAGCTCTGGAGATCTTGTTTGTCTTTTGACACTGTATGTGGATGAATTGTGAAACCACATTGACAATTGTAGTTTCTATTAGTATGTTTTGTGATTGATTCATACAATTTCAGCAGCTGTGAAGGAATGTTGAAGGGAGAATTAATAGCTGTGCAATCTAATAATGCTAAATATGTAATAAAATAGTTAACCTCATCTGCTCAGCTTCATGTTGTCTTTGTAGCATTTACTGACAGGGCTCAGAAAGCCTTCTGTCTGAAATCTTGGAGTGTAGCTTGCAGTCATTGTAGATAGCCTTGTGATCTAATTGTGTCAAGCTGCATTGGTCAAAACATTTCCTTCTCTGTTCCATTTGCAGTTAGATCTCTGACAATATGATTTTTTGTGGCTAAGTTAAATTGCTGCTGGTATCTTTTGCATACAGATAGAGCTGGGAACAGCTTTTAGAGCATTTGTGCAAGCTTTGCAAAAGATATGGCATATGAATAGTTCAAAGAGAAGTGTTTTGTTCATACTCTTGAACATTTCTTTTCAAATGCTTTGCACTGCTCTGTTGGACATAGTAATTTTGCATACTATTAGAAATGAATTCATGAAATGAGTTGAAATACACATTTCTGATGTTTTAAATAATTTTTCCTTCAATCACATATACAACTTCAATTGGCATCATTGTTTAATGATCCAGGGGGTGGACCACGTTTTTAGGGTATTAAGTGCCAATTTGTGTATTTCTGTAGTAGACAACTGATACTATAAAGCAGCTTCTCATATTCTCCCAAATCCTAGTCAAAACACACTATAGACTAAGCAATGCCATTTTCTCACAGGTAATTTACTTGTACTGCTCCTTGGAGGTGGTTGGTGTCAGTTTCTGTGCAGTCGGTGGGAAAAATGTGGTAGATTTGTCTGGAATTCTGTAGTGCTAAGAAGCAATGTACTTTTAGTTTAGGAAATGACAATGCCATGCTTCTGAACAACAGCATTCTTGAAATATTAGTTGATACTTGATCAAATAAGAATCAATGGTCCGACATAGACGGCTATACAAATAGAATAAATAAATAGTTGTTTAGCTGACTGGCCATTTAATTATATTTGTTTGGCTAATTGATTGTGTGCCAATTCTAGGTTTAGCTATATTGACTCTATGCAGTTCCTTCCAACATGCAATGATGCTGCATGTGAATGAAAGACACTGATTACATTTCCATTTCTGCCTCTGAGGCTGCATGGCCTGCTGGGCTTAATATCCTTGTGCATACATAAGAGTACTGTAGGTAAAGACTCTAGCTTGGTTGGGAAGAAATCCAATCTCACTTGGGAAGATTGTATCTCATTGTATCTTCTAAAACTAGGTGTTAGAAGCATACCTAGATTCATAATGACAGTGAGATGAAAATGTCTGTAAAGAGATGCTCTTTGTTGCTAAGAGTACCAGTTTGAAAGTTATAAATAAAAGTTATATTTAGATGCTCTTGAGAACCTTTACCCTACAACAACTTCATACTTTAGACATCTGGGACAGAGAAGATTGATGGTGTCTACAAATAGCCACAAATAGTGCAAAATCTATTAGATAGCAATAGCAATAGCAATAGTAGTTAGACTTATATACCGCTTCAGAGGGCTTTCAGCCCTCTCTAAGCGGTTTACAGAGTCAGCACATTGCCCCCACAGTCTGGGTCCTCATTTCACCCACCTTGGAAGGGTGGAAGGCTGAGTCAACCTTGAGCCGGTGAGATTTGAACTGCTGAAATGCAGATAACAGTCAGCTGAAGTGGCCTGCAGTACTGCACCCTAACCACTGCGCCACCTCGGCTCATCACCTATAAGATTTCATTTTCTGATTTTTAAAATTTTGGTGTATTGCAAAATTCTGGAAGAGATTGAACTCAGGGTGTGGAGGTGGGGGGCTACAGGGAAGTTCAGTGGACCACACTGAAGTCAAAATCTGCATGACCAAAGTCCAAAGTAGAATAGGGTAGTGGTTCTCAATCTTTTCTTTATCACGGACCCTATTTAAATACCTTTTGTATCCATGGACCTAAGATTTAAACCATAACATTTCTCCAAGCCTTTGAGGACCCGCTGTAACAATTTTGCCCACAGCCCCCATGAACCATAGGGTGAGAACCTTTGGACTAGAGGAAGAAACTTAAGCCATTGAAATTAGGTTCTCCCTGTTACTGATATGGTTTCAGATTGCAGATGGAATTTCTAGGGTGCTGTTATAAAGAAATAGAGTAACCATGGTTGGGTTTTTTTTTTCATTCTTATCTGTACATTTAATTTCTTTCTTAAATTAACTTAAATATTTCATGTAGTGTAATTTTAAGCAGCATAATGCTCTATCAATATTATTAAACCACACTCGCATACTCCCAATGTTGACTGTAGTCATTGGGAAATGGGCGAATTGGAGAGAACAGGTTTTTTATGCTACAACCTTCTTGCAGAAAAATAATAGGAATTACGTTCAATTTGTTATTTTTTTCCCAGTAAGTAAGTAATTCTGCAAAATGACTTTTCAGCTTACTCTGTGTATAAATACTGTAATTTTAAAAATGTGTTTCAGGAAGTTGATAACTTGTTGCGTTGTGGGATATGCTTTGATTACTTCAACACTGCAATGATAATTCCACAGTGTTCACATAATTGTAAGTACAGAAATTTTTTCCTTCCTCCTGTCTGTCTGTCTCTGTGTGTGTGTGTGTGTGTGTGTGTGTG